AATAATAATAATAAAACATTTAATAAAAGAAAAATCGAAATACTTTTTTTCAAATATATTATTTAATTGATTTTGTGATACGATTTCAAAAAATCGGTCATCGTTCATTCATTGTTAAAATTGTTGCTCCCAAGAATTGTGAAGAAAATCTGGGTATAACTCCAGCTCTGCAATGAAAACCTCTAGTTTTCAACGAGATACCGAACTAGACATCGTAGATAGATCTCACAAGAACCGACGAGAAATGATCTCTGCGCAATAAAGGTCGTTTTGACAGTACGAACCACGTATTTGTTAGTGTCTGCCTAACACGATAAGGCTCCTTTATCGAGACAGCGATTGTATTTCAGCAAAAAATGCGATAAAAACGTGGTATTTTTATACGATATATTAATATATTATTAATATAATTTATTAATTTGTTTAGCAAACATTTGATTCTGATGATGAACATGGCATGCATGAAATTGATATTAAATTCTGAACTTTTCAATAATTATATCGACTCGCGATTAAACTTCGCGAACGACAAACTAATATTAATATTGAATTATTGGCTTATTGTTAGTATCAAATCTTCACGCATATTATTCAATCTCTTTTATGTCATACACTAAAATAATTGGCGAGATGATTGGGATCACGAAATGGAAACAAAAACTTTCTGTATTTATTGATTTTGGTCAAAAACAGACTGTTAAATTTTAGAATAACTTTAAAACAAAAACTTTAATAAAGAGCGAATATTCCCACAGAATATATTATTTTAACAAATTTTACTATTGTATTTATTTTACACTATGCGTTCTTTCAGTTTCGCGTGTAATAAATATAATTCACAATATATAGATATATTTAGATAAAAGTAAAGACTAGAAATTATTATAATATTACAGTATAATTTTCAATTTATAGATTATATATAATAGAGATTCACAATAGATATATATATAAAATTTATGTCACTATCAAATAATTCAATAAAAATATTCAACGTTGCGAATAATTTGCAAAAAATTCATTTTAAATTAATAGTAAAATGCAACATTTTTGTTACATAGATTGCTTAATAAGTATTTCGATTCCTCTCTCTCAAATGAATTAGAAATTTAAAAAATTCAAAAAATTATTCTTTAATAGGATTATTATTAAATTTATTATCAGAATTAGTGTTACTGAGGATTTAAATTTAAATTTAACATTATGTAAAATTTTTATAATAACATAATTTACATAACATAATTAGTAATATAATTTATAATGCAAAATGTAATTTATAATATAATTAATTTAATTAATTAAACATTTTTACTTTACATGTAATTTATACGCAATATGGATAAAAGAAAATTCTAAAATGATATATAGCATCATATAATATATAAATCTTAATTGTATAGTGTTTTTTGAAATTATATTTTAATTTTGCGTTTTTAAATTATTGCGTTTTTAAGTTTGCAATATTCTAAAATTTTAAAAGCCTTATAATATTTTATTTAATCATAAAAATTCTAATAGTCCCAGCCGCCTTTCTTGTTGATTAAACCAGCAGGAAACCGCAATTTTCTCGGGTTTTCTCTAATCAGAATACAATTTACGAACGCATCGTGTTTTTATGTTTCGTTTTACGCATCTTTGTTTATTTTTTTAACATATTATCATTTATTTCGGGCGTTTATTTTACCCGTTTATTTTACGCGTTTATTTTATGTAGATTATGTATTATTGTGGACGTAAAAATGCGAAAACATATGTACTCTTCCATTATGTGTATCAATATTGGTTGCCTATCTGGGTTAGATAAATTATTCTTCAAATTAGTATCAAACTTATTCCATTAATATTTCACTAATTCCGACTATTCAATCTGGGTACTTTTAATCAGAAATAAAATAGCTTTGACTTCTATCAAAAGTTAAGAAGGAAAAAAAAGTTTTGTGCCGGCTAATTGATTGTTTGTCGTCTTAATATAACTTTGCTTTAACTAATATAATCTCACTTCATCAATCAAAATTGGTTGATTAAAATTTGTATAATACATAATATTTTAATTATAACAAAATTTATAATTTTATAATAAAACAAAATTAATTAAATATACTTTAATATTTTTTATTACATTTTCATTTTATAGTATCATTCATTTACTTCTTTAAACATGCATGATTTAATTGATCGATAGATTTATATCAGTCAAAGCAAAGTTTTCTGATGCACATTACATAGATGGATGGATTATAAAATATTGAAATAAAATTGATGCGCGTTATAATAAATAAATTGTTATGCACAATGTCAATAAAATTATTAGCGCGTTCTTTATTAAATAAAATAAATAATTGATAAATTCACAGAATAATGAATTGATAAAGAATTGAATTTTTTTTCTACACTTCTTTAATTTGTTATAATTTGCATTTGTAAATATTTAATATTTAATTTAGCATATTTGTCTTTTAATTGAAGTTACATTACAACGTACAAATATAACAGCGCTTAAAATAATTAATATACTACAAACAATTATTATTGTATTTAACAATTTATATCAATTTATATTAATTCTAAATAAATTATTTTTTAAATAGAAAATTTGATAAGATTTATATAAAAATCTTTTTTTCTCAGTCACTTTTATTTAAATAAATGAACTGAAAATGATTTAATGCATATACGCGATTTATAATAATTAATATACAAATAATAATATTCACTCTAAAATTGCTCTGTTTTCTCTAAGTTTCCTTCTTTTTCTAGATTATTAGAGTTACTATGTTGATCTATAATAGACAAATAAAGGGAACAAATAAAAGATTCAAGTAGCAACGTCAAAAATAATTAATATTAAAGAATGTTATTATTTTACGCATTTAAAATGTTATATGATGCATATAATAATAAGCAGATTAATAAAATAATTTTATAAATTTTGAAAAAGATTCTACTAATAATTCTTTTCATAAAAAAGTTATAATTCTCTAGAAATTTTGCAAGATTATTAATAATTCTCAACTTCTAGCGCTTCAAGTCCAAATTTGAATGAATTAATTTTTATTTATGAAATTTATAGTTCAGTAAATAATTTTGATATGTTTATAAATCTTTAATTGTGAAGTCAATTGATTATTGCAGCTGTTTGCGGCCGCTAATTGTTCGTAGATAATGACTGTGAGAGACACCACATAGAGCATCTCAATCAGTGTAATCAAATGTCAAGACCGTGCACCAATATGATTTGTTATCGTCCTATAGAATTTATTACACATAAATTTAATTTTTTACGAAATATGATTTCACGCAGAATATTTTATTGCTTACATTTGTTCATTGATTCAATAAACGATCAATAAACGATATACCTGATATATTTTATAATTGATTTATTATTTATTACGTATAACATTAGTCGATCCATTTTTTTATCTTTAGGATAATGATCCATTTTATTTACTCACATGCATTCTGTTATATATTGCATATGAAATAGCTTTCATTTTTCAAAACATTTGAAATACAAAATTTTTAATAAAAAATTTATAATAAAAAATTTATAATATTTAATAAAAAAAAGTTTAAACACGGTATATTTTATAGTGTTTTATTACATAAAAGAATATTGATTATATGTAATGCACAAATTTAAATTTTAAATATAAAGATAGGAATAATATAAAGATCAATAATCGCAAAATGCTATATTAAATAAATCAATTTCTAAAGCACTCAGTCTGAGTCGAAAAACCATATCTCATGCATTATCAATTTTTTTTCATCTTTTTTTTCATTCCTGCGAATTCTTCTTTGATGATTTTTTACAGTTTGAAACAATTTAATAAGGCATTTCGTATCGAAAAATTTCAAATCAAAATACTTTAAATGACATATTTATATTTTACTAATAATTTAAGTCTCATGTAACATGCGTCAATATTAATGCCACATCTGTTACATTTCGAAAAATGTCACATTTTGTCAAATTAAACGATACAAGTTGCCGAGAGCGCAGTCGCTTTTTGTGTAGTTTATCGTCGTGTCACTTGATGTATAATTATTTTTTTTAATAAAACAAAATACCGCTGAAAAAGAATATTTGTAAAACGTGCAAACTGCTCTTATAAATCTGAATTTAAAACGCTAAAAATTTCAACACGCGAGGGATAATTCGACAGATCGATAGCAAGTTGCGCAATCATTGGCGTTGAAAAACGAGTCTAGCATTAGCATAATAAATCTAGAAACTAGAAGCCAAACAGGAAATTGCGAGGCTCTCGAGGTTCGCAGTCTACGTAGACGAATTATGCGGGCTGTCGAGAAGCGAGACAATCTCCAGAGCAGGGGATACTACGGGTTATAAACTTATTCCCGGGCCTTCGTGACCGATCCCGCGAGATTTATGTCAGACGTATTAAAGTTTTCGTGTTAACGAAAAGAGAAGAAGGTTTATAAGAGCTACCAGGAACGAGACGCCGGGCGAGTTCAATTCTGGCGCCGTCGTTTGCCTCGCCTTTGCCATGCGAGGTTGGCGGAAGCCAATCTCTGATTACGAAAAAAAAAAAAAAAATAGAAAAAGAAACGAATGTTTTTCGACAGCTCTTGGTGTAATAAGACTGTTGGATTTTTTTCAAGAATAGGATTGCAGATTGAATTACTTTCTCCGAAATGAAATTTTCCTAATTAATTTTGATAATTAGATACGCACTACGAGAAACAGATTCCTAACAAGTGCTTTCGATTGATAATAAGTTTCTCCAAACACGAAAAAAATGGTGCTACACGAGAGCAAAGTGGTATCCCTATTATTTTTACGGTAATTAAAGTTCCGAAAGTTTTTCAGAGATAAAGGTACACGGTGCTCGAGGGATAGCGAGCACACAGTTTGCTTTACATCTGTAGAAACTTTAAAGCGATGAGATTGTGTGTATAAAATGCTCGTAACAATCTTCGCCATTTTATCGAACGTCGCTTTATCACGCTTTGTTCCTTTCTTCTCTCTGTTACAGAAGGCCGCATCCTCGAGCTACACTCGCCCGACGGCGTACACGAATGCTGGTTGAGAGCCGCTGACAGCGCCGAGGCGAATGTCTGGTTCAATGCTTTGCACTCGGCGTTGGCAGCTCTCACCTTGAAAGCATTACGACTGGCCTCAGCACTTCCGGATCCGCAGCAGCTTCAGCACATCGGCTGGCTCGCGAGGAGACATTGTCTTCAGGTGAGAAAAGCTTCCCAACATTCGTCGGAGAAAGTATGACGTCTGACAAGCTTCTAACATAATGTCTCGCGATAATTCAGACAAGAATTGCAAGTAGCACTTCGTAATTCTGACACTGGAAGAGACGTAATTCAATGAAGCAATCTCGCTCGCAATAACGGACTCGCTAAAGATATTCATTTAATTTTCTTATGATGCGAAAAATAAAACATTCCTTGCTATCTTCGAACCGTTTTAATCTCAATTTTATTTCTCGTTGACGCTAAGATTAGATTTTTATTACTCTCGCGGAATAATAGATGTTGAATTTTAGTCCTCTCTAGATATATCTTTCACGTCAAATAAAACTTTAAACTAGATTTTTGCATTTTCCCTCGACTCGTCTTATTTTTATCTGCTCCGTTTAATTTAATTTTCGGTCAAACTTAAAAACCCACATCAAGAGTAGACCTTTTATTTCACACTTGGAGCCGCGGATCCCTTTTATTCCCACCGGCATCGTAGCAGATTGAGGGTGATCTTCTCTTCGGCAGTTCGAACAAAGGGTTGACGCACGGTCTTCGATAAGAAGTACCCGCATGGAAGCGCGACTGCAATTTACCGACATGCCAGTTTGCATATACATACCTTCCGATTCTGATTTCCCACTCTTTTAAGGGGGATCCCTCGATCTATCTTTTTTATCGACAAAACACTGTAATTTTTGGGCATGTGCCATTTTTTATTGTCTACATAGAATTAAAAATCCTTTTCTACAGTTGAAGTATGCAAATAGACACGGGGAAGCTGATTATATACTGAGAAAGAAAAAAAAAGTATAAAATTATATATTTATTTATCGACTTCTTAAATTAACATGACGTCTAAAGCTATCACCTCAAAGACATTAGCCTTGTATAAATATTTTGTAACTTTTACGCATAAAACAATAGCATATCCAATAGCGGACTGCACAATAAAAACTTGTGGAACTGTGAAAATTGAGTTTAGCAGTCTAATTAATAAATGGCATCCAAATTTCGGCCCGTATGTACTTAAAATATCGGTACAGTACAGTGAAAAAAGCAGTGCATCTTCTTTATAAATAACGTGATAGAGAGATACGGGATGAGAATTAGATGATAGCACTGTAATCGTGTGAGAGTTCATTCAATGAGGGATTTTTATTCAGAAGAAGACATTCATTCCCCTTAACAATTTTAATCATTAATTCTGCCAAATTGCCATGATATGTCCATGACTATTAGATCTATTCACGTGGGCCGAGAGGAAAAGTGCGAGATGTGGCATGAATCAAGGTACTTGGAGGTGCAATATAACCCTTAGATAAGGGATTATTCAACGTCAATGTTAGGGGAGAGGGCAACGTTACGGACGTCAGTCGGCCTTCCTTAGTCGCGCGCGTCATATTGCTTGATTACTGTCGCAAACGTTCAAATCGCGTACCGTTCACTTCGAAGAGAGAGAGAGATATATATATATATATATATATATATATATATATATACGTCGGCCGGTATTTAAGCAGCAGCCCATGGGACGATTTTGGAGGAGGGCGACTGGCAATCAGGCGCGCTAATGCCAATCAATTATGTGCCGGTAGCCGCGTGCCCTACGGCCCTCCTGCGGCGTCCTTGATGCTCGCCAGGGTCCTTTATCAACAAGGCAACATCCGGCGAGCCGAGCCCCGGCACGAGTATTAGTTATCGATTCCCGTCGGTTACACGATCGGTGGATCGATAGCAGCATCGCAGCCGTCTCGTCGGTCTCGCCGCCCGCACGTTTACCTGCTGCGATCTCTGCGAGTGACACGGAGCTGGATGGGCGAGATCGAAGGCGGAGATGAGAAAGATCAACTGTCGCACCTCGGATATTCCTCCAGTGGCGATATTTAATTGGAAACTGCGGATATAACGGATCCCCGCGCGATTGGGCTCGCGGTTTTGGCTTAATAAATATATATGTGACGGATGGAAATCACGATTTAATTGTGCCGCCTGTCATCCAGTTTGATTAGGCGCTCGGTGATAGGCTTGTCCTAAACTTGATAGAAGATCGTCTGCAGTTACTCGCGACGATATATGCTTAATTAAATGTCTCATATACAGGCGAATTTCCTCTCTTTGAGGAAATTAATAGCAATAAATCGTTAATCATGGATGTGACTTTCCGAAGAATCGAATTTGCTACTTTTTCATCTCATCATTACACAGGCAAAAAAGGGGAATTTCTTTTTAAGATGCAATAGTGATTTTACGTAATTTTGTGCGCTGAATCTGAATCTGGCCGTCGAATTTGCGTAGCACGTCAGGTTTTTGAGTTATTTGTAGTTGAATAGCCCAAAAATCGCTATTTTGGCCAATTTCATGAATTTATTGTGAGTAAACCAAATTTTTTGAAATATTTCTGTCAATGGCATTGTATAGTATTCACCTTCATCTTTCGAATCCACTTTCGATTATCACCGCACGATTTTTTTTCGCTCAGATATACAAATCATAAGACTGGTCATGCATAGGGATCTAATAGGCCATTCTAAATCAACCGTGCCACCTCTTTATTTCACTACCAATCAAAATTAGGATAAAAATATACATTTTTAAACCTTCTGTCACCTTTTGAAATTAAAAATGACGCATCCAATATGGCGAATAGAATCACAATAAAAAGGCATAAAATTTAGAAAAATTTATCAAAATGTGTAAGAACTGTATTAGATATTTCTTTACAATACTTTTTTGGACAACCGAACCTGACATATGTCAGTCTTTTCAATTTTCAACATCATGGATTTATCATATTGATATCTATATAAATTTTCTTTAACGTAAATTTTCTTATAACGTCATACTTATATATCTCAGCAAAGAAAAATCGTGCGGCGGTAATCGAAAGTGGATTTGAAAGACGAAAGTGAGTATTATACGATGCCATTAACAGAAATATTTCAAAAAATTTGGTTTCCTTGCAATAAATTCATGAAATTGGCCAAAATAGCGATTTTTGAGCCATTCAATTACAAATTACTCAAAAACATGACGTGCTGCGCAAATTCGGCGGCTAGATTCGAATTCAACTCACAAAATTATGTCGGAAATCACTATTGCATCTTAAAAAGAAAAATCTCGCAGGCCCTTATTAATCAGGCAGAATTCACTATTTTATCGAGAAGGAAAGTCTTTTTCAAAATTTCCAAATTTTGTAAATATGGAGATGTAGCGAAAACCCCTAACCTTTGTGCGGTGAGAGAGAGTTGAATATTTTAACAAAAAAAAGAAAAATTCTTGAAAAGGGATGTTGACTCCGATAGCTATGCAAATTTCTGCCGCGCCTTTGAAAAGTATTTATCTCTTCCAAATGGCATTCTACTTACACCCACGAAAAAACTCTCCAACATATATCAATCTTGCCGTACACATGCAAAGCCGGCCGGACAAATATTGCCGTAGTTATACAGATCTCCTATAGATATTTACATTTTCGCATAAATCGCGTACGAGTCTGAAATGCTTGGCCGAGCTCGGCATATTCATTAGTAGAATATATCGATCGGCAACCCGTGACCAGGTGGATCGGCCGCGCCGTGTCATTTAATTAACGATCCGCGATGGGGTATTTAAGTGGCGTTGATCGTTGATCGAGAGCCCGAGAGCGCACGTAACGTTTATGGATTTCAACGTGAACGTCCCCCGTTGATCAACTGACCGTCGAACGAGTTGTAACGAGTATTATATTATTTAGCAAGCGCGACTGATCATCTTGTAAACCGTAGATATTGTGTTTCATGAACAGGCGGCCTCTAAAACGGGAGCCGAAACGAAAGGCAAAATCGTTCCGATTGTCGCCGCGTTTTCATAACTGAAACAAAACCGCTGTGAAAAATACCCGAAAAAAACTGGCGCGGAGTAAAAAAAAAAAATACCCACTCACGCGCATAGTTTTTTAGCAAACTCTACGTGTATTACAACACACCGCTGTTCTGTCATCCTGTTTTAATGTCGTCGCGCTCAAATCGTCAATTTATTTTATTTGCCGTTGAATGTAATCGATTTCCGGCTAGTTTCCACTTTGTCGACGATTTTCGTGCCGGTCGGTCATGTTAGCCGATTATTGTAGTTACCCCTACCTGTTGGATTACATAGTCGCTGAAATGTCCGTAGTCTAGTCCCTTCCATCATTTTTTCATTCACAAGGTGATATAGTAGTTGTTGGTAACTTTCTATTGCACTGTTGGGATAATTTAATATTGTGCGCACAAGTTCACACATCGGTAGGATTTCATTTTTTTCTCCGTAATTATTATCACATTTTATTTTAGTAAAGACTAATAATTGCAATATATAGAGTGTTTCTTAATAAGTGCGAAAAATTTTGGGAAATGTTTCTTTGTCGAAAATTAAGGGGAATTTTTCATATTAATATATACTTCTACATCCTTCCCTGTGAAGTTACACTCCTCCAAAAAAAGGGGTAAAAATTAGGTTTTTATTTAACAAGTTAAAGAAATGAAATTAGGTGGATATTTTTTACTAATAAAAAGATTATTTATTAATATTTTTTTTCAACCTGCTGTATTGTTATAAGGGGATGAAACTAGCAACCCTTATTTAATTTTTTTATTAGAACTTTTTAATGGGTCGGAATATGATCATCTAAAAATATGCATTAAAAAGTTTGATTTATTTAGAAACTTTTTCATTTCTTTTATTTTTTTCATAAAATTAGTAGTTTTTGAGAAAAAAAAGAATCTTGTTATCGTGCACAACACGATGCTAAATTGCATAGATTTCGAATTACGAAAAGTTAAATTTTAAAATAAAAATAAAATTAGAATAAATGTTGAGAAAATTAGAACAAAAACAAAATTATAATAAAAATCTATAAACCTAATTTTTAATATAATGATAAACTCCATTTTTGGAGGAATGTAACTTCACAGAGAGGGATATAGGAGTATATGTTTATATAAAAAACCCCCCTTAATTTTCGAAAGAATCATC